TTCCGTTGCACTTAACGGAAAAATAGTGCTTCTTATCTCGTATCAGTTAATATTTTTCGTGAAAATACTACCAATATTGTAAGATAGTACATTATACAATGTTTTCTTTGGTTAATGTTATTAAAGTACAGTATGTACTTGAGTCGGGTATGCACGCCTCCGTATTACTCCGCAGGCGGTGTTTCCCGCCCGCGGCCCCACCAGCGTCTCACTCGGCGGGGGACTGAGAGGGAGGGCAGATGTGTCAGGTGAGTGCTTCCGTAATTAAATTATATTTACTTTAATTACCTATTCCACAATTTAATTATAAAGCCGACGAAAATATACGCCTGTTAAACCTTCCCAAAGGCAGGTAATATGAAGAAAATAAGGAATTAGAACAAATTTCTGCGGACTGTACAAACGGTTTTTACACCTTAACCCGTGTCATCTTTCAACAATAGTTTGGATGTGAAATTATCTGAATTACGTATCCTCTTTTTGTGGTTTATCCACTTTTGCTTACTTTTGAAAACACTCTGCCAGAGTTGTGAATACCAAGTGTGAGCTCATTCAAGGCCAGACTTGACCAACACTGGCAGAACATACTGGCGCCAGTACATACCCTGTACTTCTTATCCAGGGATTATTATTGAATGCCGAGGAAGGCAAAAGAATCTGTCTTTATTATGTTTAATGTGACTTTAAATGTTTTCACAGGTATCTGCAATGTCCAAAAATCCATCATAAGAAGAAAGAAACAGCAGTAGTTGAAGGACGTACGTGCCCAGTACTTGCCAACAGTGAGTAGCAGACGTGACTGACTGCCCAAGGGGCTGACGAGCTGATCAATGGCGAAGAGGATCAAGGTAAAAGTAAAGAAGTAGAAATACAGGACTGTTACAGAGGCGGATCCAGGAATATCAAAGTTGTGGGTGGGGGTAACATGGCCAACACATCGAGCACACCCAGCATTTTTTTGGGCGGGGACTTACAACCCCCCTCCCCCCCACTGAAATTTTTTTGGGGAAAGCTGACCAGTATTATCATGGGAATTTTGAGGCCATTTTGAAGCCATGTGCACTTGATATTAGGGGGTTACAGCCCACCCGGGCACAGGTCATCGACCCACAATGGGGCCTAGGGAGGCGAAAAAATAAGAGTAAAAATAAATTAAAAATAGGTGCTGGAAAATTTTGTTTTAATATACAAAATGCATGACCCCCCTGGATCCGCCCCTGCTGTACAGGTACCCGTAGATGTTGGCTACTCTAACGTCAGTACTGTCCACAAGAGTTGCTGGCATCATGAAATCACTAAAATAATAAGAATAGTAATATAATAGAGCAAAATTAAATTTAATAGTTATAGAAACCCAATAATAGGCCCCCTATTACTGGGTTTCTATTACTATTAAATTTACTATTAGATTTAATTTTGCTTTATTATATTACTATTTTTATTACGTTAGTTGTCATCTATTACTATTACTTTTGGTCACGAACTATACACGATGAACACAGCCAGTCACCACACTTGGAGTTTGGAATTGCAGGAGCTACGGTTGCCAGATAATATTTTTCTTGCATAATCATCAGTATGTTCCTGTTTACTCTACATTTTCAGTAATATATTCTTGTGAACAATGAAATACAGATATGCAGGGCTCTTGGTGTGTTACAAACAAGCTTGTTATGATTGTTTTTTGTTATTCCCTTGTCAGAGCAAACTGCTTGAATGACAGCAGCAATTTAGTAATTATGAGAAATTTTTTGACAACCTAAGAGTTAAAGAAGTCTCTAATAGAAAGGCAATAGACTATTATCTATTACTCTGCCTTCTATTAATATTACAGCCAAAAATGTTGATACAGTATATTACTAATACTACCTTAAAAACCCTGTAATAGTCTATTACTGTACTTATTACTTTTACCCAATGTCTGCTATGTTCATGCTTGAGTTAGACACAAAAGTGTTTTTTTTGGAAATACTTGGAAGATCAAATGCTTCATTGTAGCTGTATTCTGGGATATGGATTGAAATGTTAGCAAGTATAATTGGTCCTTAATGAAACAGTATCATGTTAAGGATGTGTAATCTAATATTACCACGATCAATATTTACACACGGGTAATAAGAGCAGTTAAAATTTATTGATGGAGATGTGGAATGCATTTCTAGTGAGTAATCTGTTGTTTACAGATGATAATACCCAAGTGGATGAATCTAAAAAAAAAAAGTTGCAAATGTCTGTAATAACTTTGGAAGTGTGTGACAAAATTTATAGTGAATGTGAACACGTGAAGAGTCGATAGAACATTTATAAGTTATGAAAAAAATCGGAAAATCTAATGGAGAAATGAAAAGTTCGAAAACAAATTCTTTACCACTAATTATTTAGAATACAAGTACAGTATTAAATATTTTTGTGACTACACTGGTGTTTTTAAGTATTTAGCTGTAAAGAGCGAAATATGGTTCATTGTGAACAGTATAAATATAACACCTTGTATATTTTCCAATACAAACATTGTGTTATTGTACTGGCACAGTATTTGTGAATTGAAGTTTTACATATACTGTACTGTACTTTATTGTGCTTGTTTATAAAAAAATGGATCAGTTAGAACTGATAATGAAGTTGAAATTATATACAGTACTGTAAGCACTGTACAGCTATCTTCAAGTTTCCATTACATATAGTATATGCACTGGTGAAATTTATAATTTCATACCCATTTAAGAACCCTGGTATGCCATTGGTTACATGGGATTATCTGGGTGTAAGCCATTAACTCGTGAAAGAAGACGAGCACTCCACTCGTGTAGTCTGCCATCTACTCCACTGCTTATCTTGTGTACTCAACTTTCACTCATTGCAGTATTGAGCTACCTTTCACACTCGTTGCACATTGCAGTCTTGAGTTGCTACCAACTTTTTTCTTGCAAATAGCACATGTGCATTTTCCTCTTTCCACCATGGGGCTCTCATCCACAACTTTTACTTACTTTTACTTTTATTCTCTTTGCCACTGATCAGCTCTTTAGCCGCTTGGGTGGTTGGTCAAGTCTCAGTTTCGCACTGTTGGCAAGTACTGGGCATGCACTGGTTCCTGAATATATTGGAACCTGCTCCAGTGTTGGTCAAGTCTGGCCTTGAATGAGCTCACTCTCGGTGCCGTCACAACGCTCTCCGACAGATTGTTTCAAAAGTTCACATTTCTCACTCCGAAAAAGTTTGCCTTCGCAGTTTTCTGGACTTGAGCTGTAAACCCTTGTGGAGTGGATGTCCGCCAGCTCCATTCGACCGATTAGTGCCCCCTGGGATGTTTATACACTTTGATTAGGTCACCCCTCGCCTGTCTGTAGTATAAGCTTGGTAGCTGCAGGCGTTCTAATCTCTCTGGGTAACTGAGGTTCCGTAGAGTAGGCACCACCTGGCACCAGTCTGGTGGGCCCTCCTTTGGACATTTTCAATCAATTAACAGTCTCTAGTTACGTATACCTCAGGGACCAGACGGGTGACAGAACTAATCTTTTTACTTCTATCCTATTCACCACTTATCGGCTTGTTAGCTACTTGAGCGATCAGTCACATCTCTGCTATGCATTGTTGGCAAATACTACTGGGCAGGTACTAGCTTCTGAATGTATCGGAACCTACATCAGTGTTGGTCAAGTCTGGTCTTGTAAGAGCTCACACTCGATGGCATTACAACACTGGCAGACTGTTCCAAGAGTTTACAATTCTCACTCTAGAAAAGTTTGCCCTCACAGTTTTCTGGACTTGTGACTTCTTCAACCTTGAGCTGTGACTCCTTGTGAGGCAGGCATCTACCAGCTTCAGGTATGGACACTTAACTGAGTAGTGTCCTCTTGAGATGTTTATAAACTTAATATAGGTCACCCTTTGCCCATCTATAATACAAGCTAGGTAGTTGAAGGTATTCTAATCTCTGGATAACTAAGGTGCTGTATTGCAGGCACCAATCTGGTGGCCCTCATTTTGACAGTTTCAACCTACTGACAGTCTCTAGCATATCTCGGGGACCAGACGGGGAAGCACCTCACTCTTGAAGATGGTTTCGGGGGAAAGACTATCTAGATGTATGAACGACCTTATAAGACCTACTAGTTTAGTTGCTTGATTCACCTTCTCACAATGGCCTGAAAACTTCAGTTTGTTGTCAACATACACCCCTAGGTACTTTTCGCATTCGGTCTGTTAATGCTGTTTCTTCATCCGTCGGGACATGTGATACATCTCCTTACTGTTGGTACGACCTAGGTTCATCCTCTTACAATTCGTGACATTAAATCTTAACAGCCATTTCTTTGACCACTCTTGCCATGGAGATGAGCTTGCTTCAATACCTTGACAGTAAGTGAGACGTTTGTTGCTTAACAAACAAGCGGTCATCCTTACTGAAGCGCCGCGATTTGGTTGCAATGGGTTTACATTCTGGTGGCAGGTTTGGAAAAAGCGATGGCTCATCCATCAAAGCTGCTGAGAGTGCACAGACTGAATTGGTACCAGCAACTGTGAGCTCTGGTTTATGTCCTCCATACTCGAATGTCAGACTTTTGTGTTGTTCCTGAAATTCTTGGGCCAAAAGCAGGTCACAAAACAGGTCTTTTAATACCCCAAGGCTGGTAGATGGGTACGTTTAGCCATTGAGCTCCAAAGTTACATTAGAAAACCCCAAAGAGCTGGTACTTAATGACGTTGATGAAACTATCAGAGCTACATGAATCAATTAGTGCCTTCAGTTTGTGTTCATTTACTGTGACTTCAGTGGCTGCATGTGAGAGGCTCTGAGGAAATGCATTTGTAATAGCAAAAACAGTAGGATTGTACACTGTAGCAGTCGTACTCAAAGATGTCTTTGACCGACAGACTTTAGCAAAATGCCCTTTGTTGCTGCAAGTATGGCATAGCATCATGTGCCGGGCACTTGTTTCTAATGTGAAAAGCACCACCACAGAAGTAACATTTCTTCCAAGCAGTGTAGACAGTAGCTAGTGTATGGTCCTCATGGGGTAGCTCTTCTTTTGTCTGGGGTTGCTCAGGTACAACTGGTGCAGCAGTGGTGATGAGTAAGCATCAGCATTATGCTGGGCCAGGTCAAGTGAGTATGCCTGATTATAAGCATTCTGTAAGCCAAGTGTCTTGTTCTCCAGAAGACGTTGCCAGATGAGTGGTGAGGAAATACCATTGATGAAGGCATCATGGATTAATTCTTCACGATACTGTTCCGCAGTAACTGGTTTCAAGTTACAGTCTTTACTGAGTTTGCGAAGTTCTCTTAGAAACTCATCAAGGGTCTCACCAGGCTGCTGCCGCCTTTTAGCTAAGAGGTGTCTAGCAAAGATCTCGTTGGGAGTTTTCACACACACTTTCTAGCATAGATATGGCATTTTCAAAGGTTGTTCACTCCTCAATAAATTCATACATAGTATGTAATACACTGTTCACCAGAGTTCTGAGTTTATCAGGAGCATTTTCTCCGTACTCCTCAATGAAGTTTATGAATGTGCGATGCCAGTGCTTCCACTCCTTGGCTGCTGTAGGCGAGTTAGGATCAATGTCCAGACGTGTGGGTCTAAGTAGCTTTTCCATGATCTTACAGTAGATAAATCAAGTAAATTGAGGTAAATATAACACTTGGTTACTACATCCAAGCTTTACTTGATTCATTTCACCCCATATCTGAAATAACACAAAAGCTAATGTTGTAACAATTCAAAGAGGAAACAACAATGAACATAATATAACATGGCGGTTTTATCCTAATACTGAAATAAACGCTTACACAAAATACATCGTCAGATCAACTGAGATCAGAGCTAGGGCTGCTGGACGCTAGCTTGCGAGACAATCGGACGACAAAGCAAGTACATGAAGCGCAATAAATGCCTCAAGTATACAATAAACTAAATAAACTAACATGATACTTCCAAACAAGAACAAAATAATATTACAGTATTTTCCGTAATGATATTTTAAAAATATCAGTTGTCTTTGTTAACTGGTAGTCAAGGTTTGGAATAAAAATGTTCTCAAAGCAGTCCCATTCTGCATCACTGAGTCTGATGATTCTATTGTACCACAGATCAATGTCAACCTTCATTGTAATAATGGTGCAAGACAAATCTGTTAATGTAAAAAAATATTATTAATTATATCAATTGATAATGCCGGTAAACAGGTAGTAGGTATTAGGCAGCTACCAAACAGGGAGGTACTACCGCCTGGGAAGATATTGGAAGCATAATGTGTTGTCTATGGTAGACCCTGCTGTCATATGGCATCACGAAAATTGTGACCAAGTCCCAGGTTGCTGATCTGACTTTCTGCCTCATTTACACACAATTGCAGGGTCTCAATTGTTTCTCTTACTATTGACAACACAACATACATATACAGCAATACCCTGATTTACGCGGTCAATTGAACCTGCGGAGGCCTGCGTAAAACGGGAAACGCGTAAATGGAACAACAGAACATATGGGATTAATTGAAATAGAGACTGGGCAGACCCCCAAACTCCACTTTTTCCCGACACAATACGTACGTTGTGGTAAAAATAACATCTTAGTTTTGTGATGGTATGCACACACAATTAATAATTAAGAGAAATATCAATAATATTAGGTTTTTTTAACACTTACATTAGTAGAAAAGTTGGCTGGGCACACGGGGATGGGGGGGGTTGGTTCCGAGGCAGAGGGCAGATTATTGGCCCTCACCTGTATCAATTGTATCACTATCCACCACAGAGACTTGCAGGGCCTCTTTGTCAAACCCCTCAAAGTCCATATACTGTACGTCCATATCCTCACTATCACTGACTTGGGCCGGCTGTGGTGGGTGGCGGGTGAAGAACTCGGTAATGTTTTGATGACTGGGCGACCTTGCGTGCACCCTGCCCGCGCCGCTTCCCGCGTATATGAGTAGATGCACCATGTAAAGTGGGAATTCCGGTTCTGGCGGGGTACCGCGTAAATGTGGAAATGCATAAACGGGAACCGCGTAAATCGGGGTATTACTGGATTGTTTCTCACTTGATTTTCTTTTTTCAATTTGTATTTCTTTATTATTATTATTATTATTATTATTATTATTATTATTATTATTATTATTATTATTACTACTACTACTACTACTACTACTACTACTACATTTTAGTCCCCTAGGCCCTGATGTGGGTCAGTAACCTGTGTCTGGGTGGGCTAATCCCTGTAAAAAAAAAAAAAAAAAAAAAAAACATTTTATAGATGCAACAGTGTGGTCTTGAAAAGTGCAAAAAAAATGTCTTAATTTTGCTGATGAAAAGCAAAGGCGCTATTTAGTTTTGAAAAAAAGCATAGTAATTTTCTCTCCGTTTACCAAGATTCTGTTAAAGAAGAGCTTAGGCAATTTCCCTATCAAAATTTTAGACCAGTTTTATATGGAAATTACAAAAAGGGACATTTGCATTTCATATGGGACTTATGAAAAGGAACAGTTGCATTTTATATGAGATGTATGAAAAGGAACAGTTGCATTTTATATGGGACTTATGAAAAGGAACAGTTGCATTTTATATGGGACTTATGAAAAGGAACAGTTGCATTTTATATGGGACTTATGAAAAGGAACAGTTGCATTTTATATGGGACTTATGAAAAGGAACAGTTGCATTTTATATGGGACTTATGAAAAGGAACAGTTGCATTTTATATGGGACTTATGAAAAGGAACAGTTGCATTTTATATGGGACTTATGAAAAGGAACAGTTGCATTTTATATGGGGCTTATGAAAAGGAACAGTTGCATTTTATATGGGACTTATGAAAAGGAACAGTTGCATTTTATATGGGACTTATGAAAAGGAACAGTTGCATTTTATATGGGACTTATGAAAAGGAACAGTTGCATTTTATATGAGATGTATGAAAAGTAACAGTTGCATTTTATATGGGACTTATGAAAAGGAACAGTTGCATTTTATATGGGACTTATGAAAAGGAACAGTTGTATTTGCCGTAGACTATGTGAATTTGCAATTAGGTGAGGACCCTACTTCCACCCACAAGATAAGGGAAGGAGAAAAACTGGGGGTGAGGTGGCCTGTGTAATGGTATGTTGCAATTTTTCTTATTTTATAGTTTTATCTTATATTTTCTGTGTTTCTGAGATAGAGTATTGTAAGGATTTTTCCACGACTTTTATATCATTACTGTTGTCTTTTAGTGCGTCTTTGTTATGAAAAAATGCCAGAATTATGGTTGGCGGAGGTTTTCACAGAACTTAACCCTAGCATAAAGCCAGGGTCAGGTGTATAACTGTAACCACATCTTAACAATGGAATCGTGTTTTGGTGTGGTCTGTGTTCCTGCTGTTGAACACTCAAAAGTACGGTATTTGTTATCTGACTTTTTGTCTCGGATAACCAGGGAACAGTTTTTCAGTTAATAGTTTAACATTTAATACATAATGTATAGCCAAGGTTAATTTTCTCCTTTCCTGTCTCAATTTATCCCCCCCCCCCCTTTTCTACTATGAGTGCACATGTGGAATAATTACATATATATGTGTTCCTCTCCATATTATGATGTTCAGTTACCCAAATAAATTTTATTAAATAATTTTCATGATTGTCTAAGAAATTTTGTGGTATATAATTTTCTGAGGGGATAGCAATCGTTAAAAAAATGATAAAATAATGTTGAACTTATTCTAAAATCATTTCAAATGATTTTCATGAGCCTTGGGTGAGTGATATTTAGGGCTGGCCCCAGCTATGTGCAGTCTGTGCAGCTGCACAGGGCCCCCATCACTTAAGGGGCCCCTTCCTGAATACAATATACAGTATTTGTTGCTTAGTATGATTCTTATTTCAATTCTGATGTGTTGTGCGGCATGCACATCTCAAAACTGCAAACGAGTGTTTCAGCCATCTGGTGCCAATAAATTGGGTTTTGGCTGCTTGTTTATAAAAACCTGGTAATGCTGTCAGATTCACATCATCCTAGGGAGAAGGACCGGCGTGTCATCAGGAGGAAAGATGATAGTAAGTGTTACAGTAATAGTACGTGTATTATACAGTGGTCCTTCGGTTAACGAAAACAATCCGTTCCAGCAGGTTGTTCGTTAACTGAAACCATTGTTTCAATGGGTTTTTGGGTAATTGGTTCCAGCTCACCGAAAATTGCCTAAATTCAACAAAAATGGTAGAAAAGTTCACTTACTTTGAGGTGTGTATGTAGAAGGCTCCTGGATGATGATGATGATGATGGGAATTAGAATGGGGGTGGAGGAGAAGGAAGACGAGAAGGCATTGGGGTGGAAGAGAAGTCACCCCATGGCACCATTTCACCCATAAAATTTTAGTTCTCTTGGTGTATTTCAAGATTATTTTCTTTAAATCAACACTGCACTGCATTATATATTGTCAATATGTAAAATATATTTCAAAATGACCAATAATTTGCTTGGAAACACAGAAAAAAGCGTTTAGTTGAAGAGAGTCTCAAGCAAGATGTTACCTCCAGTGAAAACAGAGAGACTAACGCCTGTTTGCTGTGTTAAGAGGCTGGATGCCGCGCATTAAACTAGTCACTTTACCTTCAATTATGTTCAATAATTGTTAAAATGACTAAAAAATTGAATATTAAACTTTTAAAATTATTGAATAGTATAAACTTCTTGATATATACTAAAATAGTAAGGAATTTAAGCCCTAGAGCCGATTTATGTATTGGCGGACTAATACTACAGCTGGTTGACCGGCCAGTGCAAGCGAAAACATGTTGAGGTCGGCTAGTAAGAAATTCGTTAACCGAATTTTTGTTCGTTAACCGAATTTAAGAATCTTATGGGAAGCAGTTCGTTAACCGAAATTTCGTTAACCGAGGGACCACTGTATTTATGTTTGCATTTGTTATTATGTGTTCATAATTGTTTAACAATAAAGTTACTTGTTTATAACAATGAGACGTGTTATTTTTAATTGTTAGAATAAAATAAGAGCATAAAATGTAACAATAAGTGCTTTGTTACCTTTGTGTACTTTCATAATTACCGGTACTCGAGTAGCATTATGTTTTATCCATAATTTCTTTGGAAAATATACTGTATTGATGGTAATTCATATTAATGTAGATGATTGAGGCTGTAGGCCTACCAAATAAAGATTGGTGGGCTATTATCTCACGGTCTTATTCAGACTTGTAACCATAATCAGGAATCGTAATCATAGGAATCGATTCCACATTTTCTGAGATCATAATCAATTCTACAGAATAAGTAATCACAATCATGATTACATGTTAGCTCTTCTGGTATGAAGTACAGGTTGTTGCTTTCCATGGAAAATATTAAAATGTTTGGGAATGAAATATGATAGAAATTGAGGTTGACTTACCAATGAAGAAAATAGATATACAGTACTGGATTTACTTGGAAATCAATCGTTATGCATGGTATGGTGGGCGAGGGGCTGGGCACGATGGGAGGGTTGTCTAAGGAATGGGGGCCCCCACCCATTATGTATCTTGCACAGGGTCCCTAAGAAGCTAGAGCCAGCCCTGGTGATGTGCTTAAGCCAAGTTAGTTATTAATATTATTATTATTA